TCTAGTTCTGAATAGCTCAGAGTTGCAGAGACTGAAAGAAAAACTCCCGAGAGGGTCACTATAAAGAATGGAGAGTGGAGCCACTCCTACTCCCAACCCTTGGTTCCTGGACCATGTAGACTAACTACCTACGGGGACATGTTGTTCTTGTTAGTTGCCGTTGCGCTGATTCCAACTCATGGTGACCCCATGTGTGCAGAGTAGAACTGCTCCGTAGAGCTTTCAAGGCTCTGACCTTTCAGAAGCAGATGGCCAAGACTGTCCGGTCATTGATTTAGGGTATATAGCGCACCCTATACCTTATAGGGTCTCTATGAGTCAGAATTGACGTGATGGCAACGTGTGTGAGTGTACCCTGGAGGATGGTACCATGTCCAAGCAGGACAGCATCACCAAGCTGGGACATCAACTGCACCTTCAAAAGACTGCTCCGTCACACTAGCATCTTCTGGTGGTAAAATATGTGAGAGGACCAGTGGATCCTATGGTCACATGCTCACTCCCCCCACCTCCTTTGTCTAATGTGATGTTATGCAGGATTCTATGTCAGCAGATCAAGCACTCTGTCGGCCTTTGAACAATGGTGCTGGCCAAGGACCAAAACCTGTGTTAATTCTAGTCAAGATGAATCACTAGTCTTTGAAGAATAGAAGGAGTCTAATGTTACCAATTTGCCACCAAAGATCTGCTTGTTCTTCTCAAGAAACAATACTGTATTGGGGGCTCAGCAATGGTCTTTGTGCTGGCGGGTTGGATGTTCAGCAGTGATAGTAGCTAGAGGAGTCTTGGCAAGGGGTCCAAGCATAGGCTGTATCCAGGCCACATAGCTGCTCCTTTCATGTGCCCATTATACCAGCACTGGGGTGGCCAATCACAGGCTGGCTGATGTCAACTGGCGAAGTCCTGTCTGCTTGGTGGTTCATGTATCTCCTGTGGTGGATGTTCAGCATTAATGTGCTTTACAAACATCTCCTCACTTCACACCCACTCCCAGAGCTTCACCCATATGCCTCCTTGTCCCTGGTCTTTCCATCTTACTTCTCTCAGGCCTCTGACCAAGAAGTCAAGCTATTCACTACAGCCCATGAGTCTATGTATATTCGTGCCACTCTTGTTTCCATACTAAGTGGATAACCAGATGCACTACCCAAAGCTCTGCCCACTGGAAGGACTTCCCTTCCCTACTGTCTTCCAGGGACACTTTTGAGTAGTGCTATAGGTTAGTAGCAGACCATTTTTTGCTTGCAGCCATATACTAAATCAACTCACCCTTGAACCAAGCTTGGGCATTTTCTTCCTTCATCAGAAAATCATAGAGGACTCATCCATGCAGACTTCGGATGAGCTGAGGGAAAGGCACTGGTGCAATAGCAGTGGATGACATGGGAGTCTGGGCTACCTGTCCGTGAGCTTATCTATGCCCTCTGGCCTTGCTCATGCCTGTGTACCACTTACAAAGGATTCCTGTCAGTCTCACTTGACTTTATGATGTGGTGGGTGAGAGAGAAGCCATTTTGACTTCTTAGTTACTTAGTGTTTCATAGTAGGGCCCTCCGCCTCTACTAGGGCCTGGTAGCATTCCAGGAACTGCTTATTGAATGGGGTATAACTCTCAGCTGCAGATGCATGGTCTTGCTCTAGAACCCTTGCATTATGACTCTCCCATTGGAGACCACCATAAATTGCACATGGATTCTTTCCCACCACTGACACCTCTAACACTCCATAGGGTCCTTGTGTAGCATGGTCTGAGCAGGCACTTTTCCACAGCCTGGACCTGCTTCAGAGCCCTTTCTTGCTCTGAGCCTCACCCATGGAAGCAGACAGCCTCCCATATTACTCAGTAAATGGGTTAGAACAGCATGTCCAGGAGTAATAAATGGAGTCCTGGCCCCAATCCAGCCCACAATGGCTCCATGTGGTTCATGGTCATTTCCCCGGTCTTCGAATATATCGTTGGAATGGATAGCCTTGGTAATTTCAGGGGTGAAATTACTGCCTCCGGAACCCAAAGAGGTCAACGAGGTGTGTGTATCTCCTTCGAAGTGGTGTGAGATGAAACATGGAATAATCTGCCCTGTATTTTGGAGGGAATGCCTCAGAATGGACTAGACTACCTAAAAGCTTCACTAATGTGGCAACCGCCTGAATCTTGGTAGGGTTTATCCCCCACTCTCCAGAGCACCTGTGTCTCACCAAGGCCTCTGATATACTTGCCACTTCTTGCTCATCTAGTTTGATTAACATGATGTCACCAATATGGCGAACCAATGTGATGCTCAGGTCCCTTCGGACTATATTATGACAGAATTACTATGATCCTGAGGGATGACTACAAATGTATACTATTGTCCAACCCACATGGATACAAGCTGTTTCTTATACTCCTTCCTGGCAGAGATGGGAAAGAATGCATTTGCCAGACCAATGATCACATACGATGTGACTGAGGCTATGTTAATGTGCTCTAGCAAAGATACCACATCTGGCTCAGCAGCTGCAACTGGCAGTTTCCTTGGTCATTTCATAGTGGTCCACTGCTGTCCTCCAGACTGAAGTGCACCATCACCCAGGCATCCTTTAGTTCTTCAAGTTTGGCACTAGTATCTGCTATTCCCCTCAGGATACAATACTGTTTCTGATTTATTCTCTTAGCTGTAGGGGTGAGGAAACAGTTTCATAGACTTCCTCTCAGCCTTCTCCACTACCATGACTCTGACCCCACAGGCCAAGGTACCAATATGAGGCAAAGTACCAAGGATATCCATTCCAACTATATATTAGAGGACCAGGGAAATGATCATGAACCAAGGGGAGCCATTGTTGGCTGGATCAGGGCCAGGACTCCATTTACTACCTTGTCCCTATATAACCAGTTGCCATCAAGTCAATTCTGAATCATGGCATCGCCATATGGGTCAGAGCAAAACTGTGCTCCAGAGGGTTTTCAGTGGTTGATTTTTTCAGAAATAGATCACCAGGCCTTTCTTTCAAGGTGCCTCTGGGTGGACTCAAATCTCCAACCTTGTGGTTAGCAGTCAAGTGTGTTAACTGTTTGCACCACCCAAGGAATCCTGGTCTCTATACGTAACCCTACTAATGGGGGCCTTGATAATGCTTCAGTCCCTGAGTATCAGTGAGCTTGGATTCTGTATCCAGCAATCCTCAAAATGTCTGGATATTCCCCTTTTCCCTGGTTACTGGAGTAAATGGCCACAGGTGCTCTCAGGGAAGGACCAGGGGATCATTTCCACGTATACTTGCTAAGGTGTTGCAGGATCCTTCCTTCTGGAGGCTCAGCCTCTCCTTCAGGAATAGGTTCTGGGTCTGAAAACTAGCTCTGGTGCAGAAACTAGGCAAAGGGTCTTGGCTTTTTATTGCAGAAACTGCCTTTTGGAAGGGGCATGTCTTGAGCAAGGTAGCTCCCTTTGGTTGAGGCAAGTTTCTGTAGAGGTACTCAGGTGTGAACCATCAGCAGGCTACACACCCAGCAGCTGAGAGAACAAATGCCTTGGTCCCAGAGAGAGGAGCTGGATGGTGCAACTCAGCACCCATTATACATGTGTTAGACCCCTACTGTGTGACAGATACTTGCTGGGTGTTTGAAAAAATTCAGCTCTTTTAATCCTGACAACCACTCTCTGAAGTAAGCGTTATGGTTCACCTCTCACAGACAAATATACTGTATTGGTTAAACTGCAGATGTGGCTGCTATAACAAAAAAGCTCAGAAGAACAGTGACAGAAACATTCTTGAAGCTTATTTCTCTCTCCTTGAAAAGTCCAAGTGGGTAGGTGGTTGAGGAGAATATGGTGACTCTGATCCACATGGTTCCCTGGGACCAAGGTTCCTTCTAGCTTGGTGCCCTGCCATTCCCCACATGTGGCTTCCATATCAAGATTCAAGATGGCTGTTCAGTCAACAGGAGTGGGGAGTAGGGGAAAGGGAGCACTTGATATTCTCTCTGCTTTCATTTGAGGATGGTAATATCTGTCCTGGTAAAACCTTTAAGAAATGTGACCAGGCACCTCTTAAAGCTAGGACTTGAGGGCCAGGGAGGATTGGATAGGCAGGCAGGAGAAGGGACCCCAGAGTGGAGGAACTGCAAAGATTGGGAGATAAGGCTGAATGTTGAACATTTTGGGGCAGTGAGGAGCTGGCCAGGCTGGATCAGAAGGACCTTGTTGAGAATGGTGGGGAATGAGGCTAACTGGGGAGGCTAGGGGATCGTGGAGGCCCCTGGGCCTAGATGAGGACTTTTCCTTCTAAGAGGAGTCCGTGGAGATTTTAGCTAGGAGAGTGTTGTGGATGGAACAGAAGCTACACTATGAGGTGGAGGTGAGAAAGCTGACCCAAGTGTGGGAGTCATCATAGTACCTTACATGGAATGCTTGCACATACATATATCATTAATTCATCTCCAGGTGAAGAGGAAAAAACACAGGCTTTGAGATGAGCCCAATCCAAGGTCCTATCCTAGCTCAGCCACCCCATCCCTGTGGGACCTTGGCCAGGTCTCCTCACCACCCTAAGCCTCATTACTCATCTAGGATTTTATTGAACACTACTACGTGCCAGGCTCTTTCTGGTGCTGGGGAATGCAGCAATGACCATAATAGTTGAAGTGCCTGCCCCCATGGAGCCAAGACTCTAACGGGATAAACAGAAAAGATGCAGGGAAATGAGAAATTATAGGAAGTCTGTATCTAAGGAGGCAGAAGAAACTCAAAGTAGGAGGGATGAAAGTGGGGGTAGGGACTGCTTCAGACATGGTGATCGGGGAAGACTTCTTGGAGAAGGTGATGTCTGAGCTCCGGGTCCTGAGTGAAGAGGGCAGGCAAGTCATGAGTTTCTGGAGGGAAGAGTGACCTAGAGAGAGGGAACAGCAAGGACAAAGACCCTGAGGAAAAGAACATGGCAATCTGGCTGGAGCAAGAGATGGACAGAGGGCGGCAAATGAAGCTGTTGACCCCCCTACCCCCTGGTTCTTCTTTCTCCAGATCCAGCGGAACTGAGCAGTGGGGAGACGGAGGAGCTACAGCAGATCAAATGGCACCGGAAGCAGCTTCTGGAGGACATCCAGGTACGGGCACATGTACACGCTCACACTCACACACACATGCTCACATCTACACACACGCTCACACACACATTCGTGCTGACACACTCTCGGATCACACAGGCTCAGAAGCCTTTATACACACTCAGCCACCTCCCCACTCACTCCTGGCCCAGCCCAGGGCATGTGGCTCAGTCTTGCCTCCCAGGAATGGGAAGAACAACACAATTGTAGAAGTCCCAGGGGACTCCCCACTCCTGGGCTCAGCTGTGGGATCCAGAGCCCCAGAACAAGCCAGGCGAGCCAGGAGAGGGAAGGGGGGCGCCCCAATTAAGGTACTGTGTACCTACCTGGCCTTTACACACTTCATCACATGATGGGTTCCAGTCCCAGCTGTGTGACCTCCACTGGGTCTCATCCCCACGCAAGGCCTCAGTTTCCTTCTCCTGAATATTTAGACCAATTGGTCAAGAGGACACCCAGCACGTGCCCACACTCGCCACTCACCAGTCAGGTTCTCGGACGTGAGTCCATCTGCTTTGCAGCAGCCCTCTGAGACAGGCCTTGGTCTGTCGCCGAAACAGGCCAGGCTCAGTCCTGCCACTGGGCCTTTGCACTTGCGTCCCCTCAGCCTGGAGTTCTTTCCCAAGCTCTCCTCAGGGCTCCTCCTTCTCTCTATTTCGTTCTCAGCTCCAATGCCACCTCCTCCTAGAGGCCACCCTGACCACCCTGGCCGTTTGCTGTAGTCCCCCCACTCACACACACACGCACACACACACACAGACACACAATTACTCACTATACTGTCACCCTGACAATTTCACCTTCCCCCGAACACCAGTGCCATCCCAGTCCCACGAGACTGTGAACTCCGTGAAGGTCTTGCCCATTACTGCATCCCCAGTCTAATAGTCAGGGCATAGTAGGTGCTCAGATAATACTTGCAAGTGAACCCCATTTTATTTATGGGGGAGCCACTCAGTGATCCAGCTGAGAACACATGGATGGGAGCTGACCAGGCTCAGACATAGCCTCCTGGGCTCCTCTCTGGCCCTGAGTCCCAGGACAAGCCCCCAGACTACCCCCATCACCAGCTTCCCACAGATCAGGGGTCGGGGTGCTGAGTGCTCTGCCTTGGCCCTACAGGGAGGTATTAAACAATCTGCCACCTCTCCCAGTCTGCCCAGTGGTAGTTATTGGCAGGATGAAGGAGGGGCCAAGGCAAACAGGCTTGAGGTGGAGTAGGGTCAGAACTTGGGCATATCAGTTAACCTCCCTGAGGCTCAGTTTCCTCTCCTGTAAATTCTACCACAAGAGATATCCTGTGTTGCCTAGTGCCCTGGCGTATCCATAGCACCGGGCACTTAGTAATTGGTGAGCAAAAGAATAAATGGACCAATGGAGAGAAGCCAGAGGGGAGCTGGGGCCTGACCACAGGGCAAGACTTTGTGCCTCCTGACTGAGGAGGCAGTAGGGAGCCATGCAAGGAGTTTGAGCAGGGGAAGGGTAGACTACAAGCTGTGCTTCAGAAAGATAGCAGGCAAATCTTCAGTCAAAGATTAGACTGGACTACGGGACATAAAAGGATACTCGTGAAGAGTATGCTTCTTAGCTCAAGTAGATACATGAAACTAAATGGGCAGCTCCTGTCCGGAGGTGAGATGAGAAGGCAGAGAGGGTCAGGAACTATTGAATGGACATGGGAAAACGGAAAGGAGGAGTGTGCTGTCACAGTATGGGGAGAGCAACTAGGTCACATAACAATGTATGTATAAATTTTTGTATGAGAGACTAACTTGATTTGTAAACTTTCACTTAAAGTAAAATAAAATTAAAAAAAAAAGATGGCAGGTTGGTGGCGAAGGGCCTGTCGGGATGAGCTTGGCTGGAGGCAGGAGACTTTACAGCTACAGACGGAAGGAATGGGAAGACTGGAAACAGAGAGGGGTGGGGAGTGACTCCTGAGGTAGAATCCCAAGACTTGGGGTGTGGGATGAGAGGGTTGAGGGTGAACCCACTTGGGGGCAGTGCACCTCCCAGACAGAAGCCGGTGGAGGATGGGTTTGCTGGGGTCTTTGGCAGTGTGAGAAGGGAAGTAGGGGGTGTGGGAGGGTCTGTCAGGGGAGGGTTCCTCAGGCTGGGGCCTCAGGACAGCGGTCAGGGAGAGAGGTGGGGCTTGGGAGTCACGCCTGGAGGTGGGAGTGGATGAAATCCCTCTTTCCTGGCTTCTACCCCCTGACTGTCCCTCCATCGGGCCACCAACCATCCCACAGAAGTTGAAGGACGAGATCGCAGAGGTGTTTGCCCAAATCGACTGCTTCGAAAGTGCGGAGGAGAGGTGAGGGGCCTGAAGGGTGGGGACTCTGGGGAAGCCCACTGTTGCTGACCGAGGATGTCATACTGCATAATGAGGAGGGGCCCTGAGCCCTGGTGAAACTGAGGATCTATCCTGAAGGAGGAGGCAGTGGCAGCAAGACAGGAATGGGTGGCCCCTGGTTCCATTCCTGTGAGCTGGTCTTGCCCTTGCTCACAGACAGTCCCCTCTCTTGAGAGACAACCGCACTCACCTACCCCCTCCACCCAAAGTCACCCCTACCTTCCTTGGCTCAGCCCCAGATCAATCACTGGAAGGCAAGCTCAACCCGAGGACTGAGAAGGAAACCCAGGGCCTAGCGGGGGCAGAAGGAAGCCCAGTGGCCAGCTGCTCCAAGGGGGAAAGACCTGGCAATCTGCTCCTGCATAAACATTGTTGTTGTTAGGTGCCATCGAGTCGGTTCTGACTCATAGTGACCCTATATACAACAGAACAAAACCCTGCCCGGTCCTGTGCCATCCTCACAATCATTGCTATGTTTGAACCCATTGTTGCAGCCACTGTGTCAATCCATCTCGTTGAGAGTCTTCCTCTTTTTCGCTGATCCTCTATTTTACCAAGGATCATGTCCTTCTCCAGGGAATGGCCCCACCTGATAACATGTCCAAAGTGTGTGAGACAAAGTCTCTCCACCCTGACTTACAAGGAGCATTCTGGCTGTACTTCTTCCAAGACAGATTTGTTGATTCTTCTGGCAGTCCATGGTATATTCAATATTCTTCAACACCGTAATTCAAAGGCATCAATTCTTCTTTGGCCTTCCTTATTCATTGTCCAGCTTTCAACTGAAAATACCATGGCTTGGGTCAGGCGCATCTTAGGCCTAAAAAACACCATGGGGCAGGTCTACTCTCTTATATATATAGGATCGCTATGAGTCAGAGAAGCCTTGGCGGTGCAGTAGTTAAAAGCTCGGGTGCCAACCAAAATGTCAGCAGTTCAAACCCACCAGTGGCTCCCTGAAAACCCTATGGGTCTGGTCTACTCTCTCCTATAGCGTTGTTATGAGTTGGAACCGACAGCAACGGGTTTGGGTTTTTGGGGGGTTTTTTTGGTTTATGAGTCAGAACCGACTCGATGGCACACGATAACAACAATAACCTGAGCTGATCCTTTCCCTTCTCTGGACCTCGGTTTCCCCATCTGTACAATGAGAAGATTGGTCCCTACACAACCCCCAGCGCCCCAGGATGCTGACTCCTACATATAGTGATCCCAGGAACTCTCTTCATACCCACCCACCCCCGCCACCCTTCAGCTCTTTTATGCCACTGATCTCCGCCTTTCTGCCCCACCACGCACACACATGCATGCACATGCATACACCTGCGCACACATACACGTGCACACACATACACATGCACAGATACACATGTGCACACACTTGCAGGTGAGCATACACATGGACACACGCACGCACCCCTGCCACGTGTCTCCAGATTCCCGTAACACAGAGCACCTGCCACCAGCTGTTTTCAGCACTTTAACCTCCCAACAATGCTGGGAGGCAGGGGCTGGTGTTGTTCCCATTTTACAGATGAGGAAAACGATGCCCAAAGTCACTCAGCCAGTAAATGGTGGATCTGGGATTTGCATGCACAAGTCTGCCTTCAAAGCCCTTGCTCTCACCAGGCCTCTTGTTATCTTGCCCCAACTCCAAGCTCAGGACACCTCGAAATGCTCCCCAGGCTCCAAGGCGGTGGTTCTGCGCTGTGAAAACCTAGTGTTGGGACCGTCGGGAAAATTGTGAGGTCATAGCTCTGGAGAGAGTTCCAGACCTGGCATTTCTCAAGCTCTCATGGGTGATTCCAATGCACAGCCTGGGCAGCCCACTTGGACGCCCTTAAGGAATCTTGGCTCCAACCTCAGAAAGGGGGCTTGGGGGCTTGGGGGCACCCTGGGGGCCTGGGTTAATCCTGGCTGACTTCCTCATGTCCACAGCCGGATGGCCCAGAAGAAGAAGGAACTGTGCATCGGACGCAAGAAGTTTAACATGGACCCCAGCAAGGTAGGCAGGCTGCAGCCTGGCCAAGGTGGGGGCCTCAGCCAGGGGTGGAGGGAGCTGCATGCTGGGCACCTTCACAACCTCCTCTCATTCCCCTCAACTGACACAGCAACCCACTTTACAGATGAGGAAACTGAGGCCCACCAGGCTGCATGGCCAGTCAGTGGCAAGGGGCTCTGTCTGCTCTGCAGCACAGCAGCCCCGGGGACCAGGTGGGAGTAAGAGGTTGGGGTGAGTCTATGGTGTCCATAGGGATGGACAGGTCCCTGGCCCTCTTGGGTCCTCTGTCTCCTCCTCTATGAATGGGGCTTTCACAGTGGAACTCTTAGATTCTGAGACTCAGTCCTGGGGTGGGTTTTCAGGCCACCAGGCTGGGTAAGAGCCAGTCCTGCAGTGCCCTCTCTCATCCCCTCTGCTGGCAGGAATCCTGCAGGCTCAGGGCTCAGCTACCGCTCTGCCCCCTCTGCCCCTACCCTATGGCCTCTGCACAACCCTGCCCCCACCCTCCACCCTCCATCCCCTACTCCTTACCCCCTACCTCCCACCCAGCAAGGTGGCAGCTGGGCTGCATTTCCTGCGGTGGGAGTCAGGAGGAAGACACACGCTGACATTTGGAGGTTGGGTGAGGGCAGCCAGCCACACTGGGGTCCCTGGAAATTTACTGCTGTGTTGAGAAGGCAGGGCTGCCCTCAGTCCCATCGCAGACCCGCAGCATCCCACCCATTCACCCTTCCACGGCCACAGACCCTCCGACACCCCTCATCCACACAGATCCCGCCATCTACACACTCACAGATCCTCACCTGTGAGGGGCTGCTGAGGGTCCCCAGCCCATCCTCAACCTGTCGCTCAGGGCCCTCCAGCCCTCTCTAAGGGGAATGAGAACATGAGGTTACCAACACAGAAAACCAGAGACCAGCCCCCTCGAGCTCCTAAAATTAGAATGACAGTTTCCCAGGGCCTGGGTGGTGGGGAGAGATGTTTGTGATGCTGTCAAATCAGAAGAGCGGTTTCCAGGTGTTGGCAGGTCTGCTCCCATTTCCATATCAAAAGGAAAGGGAAGTCACCACAATGGAAACTGTTTCTCTCCAAGTGGTAGGATTTGGACAACTTCCTCCCCTTTTGATTCAGCCGAGTTTTTTTTCTAATTTTTTATACAATAGACATAGATTACTTGTGTGAAAAAATGAAATATTGTTTTAAAATAACTTAAGTTTTAGGGGGATAAAAGGAACGGCTGAATCATTGAATCTCAGAAAAATAAATTCATAGACTCGTTGAAGCATGTAGTCAAAGAATGTCAGGTAAAAGGGGAACCTGGGGAGCACCTGGCATGAACCCAATTTAGTGTAGGAACCCCATCTCTCCTTGCATGTCTCCAGTGACAGGGAACTCACCACCTCACGAGGGCAGCTTCTATTAAGAAGTTTCTGTTAAGGAACACAACTTCCCAGAACAGGCTTGCCAGTGGCAGAATGCCAGGCCCCAGGGCTCTGACCATGGGGGGCTCCTCCCTTCCTCCTCCCAGGCTGGCTGCTGTGTGGGGGCTGCTCACAGGCTCTGTGTTCCTCCTACAGGGCATCCAGTATCTCATTGAACACAAGCTGCTGACCGCCAATGTCCAGGACATCGCCAAGTTCCTCCACAAGGGCGAGGGCCTCAACAAGACAGCCATAGGCATCTACTTGGGGGAGAGGTAAGGGGAACGAAGCTATAAGAGGGAGGCAGGGCAAAGGTTCTATAGAAGAATCCTGATCAAAAGGGAGAAAATGCAGAACAGAATTCAAATTCTCACAGACTCTAGACTTTCTGGAGCCATAGAGGCTGGAAGAACCCCCAAACTATTACCCTGAGATAATCTTTAAACCTTAAACCAAAAATATCCCCTCAAGACTTCTTAAAATCAAACAACAGTTTAGCTTAACTAGCAAAGAATGTCTGCCTTGGGCATTACGCCTCTTTTAAGAACTACCTGTATGAGATCAAATTGATAACAGCAACTTCAAAGATTAAATAGGAATCTTAAGGGGCAATGAGTTTATTTTAATGGGGAAAGGACAACTTGGAAAGGAGGGAGGGAATGGTTGCAGAACTCGAAGAATGTAATCAATGTCACCGAATTGTACATGCAGAAACTTGAAGTAGTGTATGTTTTTGCTGTGTATATTCTTAACAACAACAGAAAATAAATACAATAAATTATAAAGGAAAAAAAGAGGGAGGCAGGGAATGAGGATGTACAGATGTAGGTAGACTTGTGTGTGTGTGTGTGTGTGTGTGTGTGTTTGTGTGTGTGAGGTGAGTGAGGGAATGAATTATGTCAGGAAAGTCATAACTCTTGGGGCTTGAGGGGCTAACTGGCCACCCCCTTCCAGATTCTGAAGCCTGCCCACCTTTTTTCATTCATTCCTTCCTCCATTCATTCATTCAACATATACATATTTTTTAGTATGTACTATGTGCCAGGATTTACACAAATGAACAAGACAGGCAAAACCCGTGCCCTTGGGGAGGTACATTCTGTCAGGGAGATAGATCCCATAATACATAAACTGCACTACCTGTTTTAAAAAAAAAAAAAAATCTGTTGCCATTGAATCGATTCCAACTCATAGCGACCCTATAGAACAGAGTAGAACCGCCCCATAGGGTTTCCAAGGAGCAGCTGGTGGATTTGAACTGTCAACCTTTTGGTTAGCAAGCTGAGCTCTTAACAACTGCGCCACCAGGCCTCCAAAATTATAACTTCTATTGAATCAAAAAAAAAAAAAATGAAGCCGGGAAGGGAGCAGTGGCATCACCAGGGGAGTGTGTGGGGGGCACAGACTACACTGGGTGACATTGTCAGAAGGGGTGACACCAAAATAACTGTCTATGAAAATATCCCTGTAGTTAGTTATAACAACAAAAACATTTTTCATAAGCCCAGCTTACAGGTATCAAGATACCTATACGGCTAAAACTCTATGCTAATTTACTTTTTGAACCTTCTAATGCCCTCTGGTCAGAGCTGTCATTATCACCCAATTACAATGATGCTTCAAATCACATGGTTTCATCTGCACGTGCTGTTGCTTTTGTTGCTACTGGTGTTTGTATAGTCACTAATTTTGTCAAATTTTCTGGAGTTTTAGCTACAATATTGTGGTAATTAGTATTTGTGAACCTATATCAATAACTTTTTTGAGAATGAAGTAGTAATTAAAGGAAAAGAAGGAGTGATATACAGGAATTACGATTTATGGGTAACATTACTACAAAAAACATTAATTACCAAAGATTCTGTATAGTCTGGTACAGAAGGAGGTCCATGGGGGGAGGGTGACACCATGAGTTACCACATGGGTGACACCAGTTCTAATGATGACACTAGAAGGGAGATTAGAAGTGCCGGGGGCTGTGGGTCACGGGCTGTGGTTTTAAATAGTGTGGTCAGGAAGGGTCTCACAGAGAAGGTGGTGCTTGACCAAAATGTGCAGGAAGTGATGGAGGGAACCACGTGGTTATCTGGAACAAAAAGGCCCGGAGGCTGGGATGTGCTCAGGGAACAGGCGTGTTCAGGGCACACCAGAATGGAGTGAGGGAAGGAAGGAGGAGGAGGGATGAGATGGGGATCCATGGACGGTTCTGGGCAGAGGATGGGTCTAGCTGCTATCAGGGCGGTGGGGGGCAGGGAGCTGTAGGAGTCAAGGGCAGAGCAGGGAGACCAGAGAGGAGGCCATTGCAGCTGTCCAGGCGAGCGATGATGGGGCTTGGGCCCCAGTAGTGGCAGTAGAGGTGACAGGCGCAGCCAGTCAGATCTCCACCTTGTTCCTGTGGAGCAGGACTGGGGAGCATGGCCTGGCCTCCCTCAACCATCTTGTGCTTTCTGCTCTTTCCCGCTGAACTGAGCCCATCTCCCAGGCCCGGGCAAGGCAGTCGGCAGGTGTCTCGCTGTGGGCAGGGCTGGGCCAGTGAGCCAGAGACCTTTCTCCCAGGCTCCCAGCAGACCCATGCCTGCCCCTGGGGTGAGCAGGGAATACAGGACCAAGAAGGGGGCCCATCCTGGCTTACAGCTGGGGAGAGGGAGGAAATGGGATAGGCATGGCTGTCTCCATCTTACAGAGGAGGAAGTTGGGGCTTCGGGAGGTCAAGTGGCTTGAGTAGGGTCAGCCAGGTAGGAAATGCCAGAGGAAGGATTTGAACTCAGGGTAGGCTGACTCCAAAGACTGTCCTGGGCCAAAGCAGTGCTGGTGGCTGTCCTGGGTCGGTGGAGATCTGCATACACGAGGGAGGATGTGAGTGTATGCACGTGGGGGTATGAGGTGAGGGGCAGACAGATGTGAACAAATGGTGGCTGGACCCTGGAGAGCAGACATTGCTCCTGTCCCCTCCTGCCCCCACCTCAGCCCCCTCCAGGAGGTGGGTGCCAGCAAGGTCCCAAGTGTGCCCCCCACCGAAGGGGCAGAGCACAGAGCAGCCCCTCCCTCCCTCTCCCCAGGGACCCCATCAACCTGCAGGTCCTCCAGGCCTTCGTGGACTGCCATGAGTTCGCCAACCTCAACCTCGTCCAAGCCCTCAGGTGAGCAACTCAGGGGACAGAGGGGAGGAAGCAGGGCCTGGCCCTCGACAGTGGCACAGCCTGGGGGCTGAGGGCATCACCATGCACACTGTAGGACGGGGTTGGGCACAAAGGGTCAGGAACAAAGAGGAGGCAGCAAGAAGCAACAATTGATGAGGGCGAGGTGAAAGAATGCCTGCAGAATGCCCGCACCAGGGCCTGGTTCATTACACCACTATTATTATTATTATATTGTTTAAACACATTTAATCATTATAATCACAAAAAATCATTATTACACTACTATTATTACTCCCATGACTATTATTTTTTGGATTAGTGCTTGCTTTGCTTATTTTATTACTATACTTTAATACATATCACACTTATTATCCCTTAATATATTCAAATGAGGATTTTATTGTTGTTGCTCTTGTTTTTACAACTATGGGAAGCAGTACAGTATAAGGGTTACAAGCACAAACTCTGGAGCCCGACTTCTCAGTTCATATCCCAGCTCTGCCACTCATGCCATGTGTGACCTTGAGCAAGTCACACAAAAAACCCTCTTTATGCCTCAGTTTTCTCATCTGTAAAATAGGGATAATAATAGTCCCCATGTCATAGGGTTATGAGGACTAACTGAGCAAGTGCTTAGAACTGGCCCATAGTAAGTGCTTAGTAAGTATTGATGATGATAGTGGTGGTGGTGGTGGTGGTGGTGGTGCCTAGAAGATGGGCTCCTGAGAGGGGGCATTTGATTTGGGTTTTGAAGGGTGAGTAGGAGTGTGCTAGACAAAGAAGGAAGAAGCCATCACCACCTAGGCAGTGTGACCTTTCCTCCGACTCCCATGCCCTTTAAGGGATAAGGGGAGGTGGCTTGGGGGTCTCCCGTGTTCATTCATTAATTCATTCACTCGCTCATTCGACAAGGCTTTACTAAACAGCTCCTGGGTGCCCAGGCCTGTGCGAGGCCCGCAGGAGATGAGAGAAGAGCAGGCACAGTCCTTGCCCTCAGGGAACTTGTCTGGAAGCTGTGGAAATCACTGACTTCCAGAGCAGAAGGGAAGCTTAGGCTCCAGGGAAGGAGACCCAGGTTGGGGAAGGCACTTGACAGCACCCCAGTCAGATCCCAGGGCTGAATGGCCAGGCCGGGCGAGGCACCGAGCCTGGGGCAGTCAAAGGGTTCCTCATCCGTTGAGGCAGTCCTGGGCGGCGAGCAGTGCTGAGATCTATGTGTGCAGAGAAGAGGGCACATTCAGCTCCAGAATTCTGAAAGAAAAGGCATTTCTTGGATATGTATTACGTGCTTGGTGCCCTCGAGGACAAATCCTACTTAACCCTCCCATGAGCCTGGACAACAGGTCCAGATTCTCCCATTTGCAGGATAGAGAGAGAGACTGAGCCTGGGGAGGCAGAGCCTGGTTGGGGTCCCACCATGAGCCTCCACCCCCACTGCTGCCCACGGCCTTGTTCCTCCTGCAGGCAGTTTCTGTGGAGCTTCCGGCTGCCGGGAGAGGCCCAGAAGATCGACCGGATGATGGAGACCTTCGCCACTCGATACTGCCTCTGCAACCCGGGCGTCTTCCAGTCCACAGGTGCCAGGTGTAGGGTGGGACCTGGGACTCGGAACCCCTTCAGCACTACCAGGCTCTGATCTGCCTCCCAGGGCACCACAGCCAGCCAACTCCATCAGGCTGCCCCACACACCGAGATCCTGGGAGCCGAGATGTCTTGCTGAGTCCTCACTGAGCACCGGCTCCACACCAGGCCCTCTCTTGGGTGCCTTGAGTGTGGTCCTTGGGAGAGGAGGCAGGATGTGATGGCCCTGAGTGCTAGGGCAGCAGCAGCAATCACACCAATAAGGGGTGACCAGCCCTGCCTGGGGGTGGGGCTGGGCAGTCAGCAGGTCCAGGCTGGCTTCCCAGAGGAGGTGGGGTCTGAACAGGGTTTTGAAGAATGAATAGGAGTTCTCTAGGAGTCAAGGGAGAAAGAGGCTTTTTTGGCAGGAGTTTCAGTGTGATCAGTCTCAGAAGCATAAAGCAGCCTGAGTGAGGTGTAGGGGGAAGGGGGAGTAAAAACAGATCAACCAAAGTTGGTCTCCAGGGTTTCCCCCATAACCACCCCCAAGGTTGACCAAATGCCCATGCAGAGACACTCAGAGGACAGGATGGGAGAGGGGTCATTTTGCCTCTGACGCTGCAATAATAGCTAATGCCATTTATTTGGCACTTCACTGTGTGCTAAGTATCTGTCAACTGCAAAGCCATTTACTCCTTATATCATCTCTGTGAGGTCACTACTATTCTTATCCGTTCTTACAGAGTAGAACACAGACCCAGATGAAGTGACTTGTCCAAGGAAACACAGCCAAAAAGTGGTGGACCCAGGATTCAAACTCTGGTCTGCCTGACTCCAAAGTCCACAGTATTAACCACTTTACTGATGGACTCATGTCCTCAGAACCAGGATCTTCCCCTGCCCAGTGCTTGAATGCCCTCCGCAACATCTCCACCTCACATGCTCACACTCTGGCCTTGGCTTGGTTCCCTCCAGTGACGGGGAGCTCACTACCTCACTACCTGCCAGGGACGGATTACCCAATAAGCAAGGTATGCACGGGCTTACTTGTGCTTACTTACTGATCTGTAGTGCAGAATTTCACCTGTTTTTCACCACGTCTTTGAAACCCATGTGAAATTGTTCCCTACAGATTAGTAAGTAAACACAATTAAGCCTGTGCATACCTTGCTTACTGGTTAATCTGCCCCTGCTCACTAACAGCCTATAGAATCTAATGCGCCTCCCTGGAACTTCCCCACCTGAGTCCTTCGGAGATGGAGAGACAGTGAGCCTGAGCCCCATGCACTCCCCTGCGCAGCCACGTGAAGGCTTCCAGCCCCTCGACTCCCCTTCACTCAACTCATCACGTGCTCGAGTTTGAACACCTTCCCCTAAAGTGCAGTGTCCAGGACTCCCACATCAGCTCCCCTGATATCCCCGAGTGCCCCTTCTGGACACTGGGCATGGAGACTGACCAAGGTGGCCGAGGCCCCGCTCTTGTAGAACCCTCAAGCAAGCCCCTGGTCCCCCAGGTCCCCAACCACCTAGATGCGAGGGTGGGCCAATACCTTTCCCTTCCAGGCCCTACTCTCACACCCAGCTGTGTGTACTGATGGTGCTTGCACGGTAGTGTCAGGAGATATGGCTAAGCAGGACAACATTACAGCCTCCATGCGGGGGCAGCCTGGGGTCCCCCAGTGAGGACTCTGGCCCTCACAGAGGTCCCTGGCAGCCCTGCTGCTTCTCCAGCCTCATTTCCTTCAGCCCCCACCCCACCCCACTCCAACCACACTGGTCTCCCTCACTCCTTCACAAACCACAAAACGCTTCGCCACCTCAGGGCATTTGCACATGCTGTTGCCTTTGCCTGGAATGCCCTTTCTTGCCTCATCATCTGGCCGCAGGCCTCAGTTGCAAGACTTCCTCCTCCTCAGGCTGCCCTCTGCTCTCTCTCCCTTGTTCTCCCTCCATGCCCCCTGCCCTCTTCCTATAGAGCATTGCCCTGCCCTGTAGTTATATATTAATTTGGTGTTTGCTTGTCTATTACCAATCAGCTCCACAAGCCTAAACGTCCCACGAGGGCACAGACAATGTCAGATTTATTCACTAATGAATCCCCAGCCCATAGCACATAGTAGGTGTTCAATTAATATTTGTAGGAAAAAGGGAAAATTTTTTTAAAGCCCCAGATTTGAATCACAGTCCAACTAGTTCTTAATTTTGTGACCTTGGCCATGTAACTTAACTCTCCTGCCTCGGTTTCCTCATCTGCAAAATGGGGGTAGTAATGGTACCTGAAGGGGGCAGTGGTGGTTCAATGGTAGAATTCTTGTCTTCCACGTGGGAGACCAGAGTTCGATCCCTGGCCAGTGCACCTCATGCATAGTCACCTATCAGTGGAGGCCTGCACATTGCTATAATGCTGAACAGGTTTCAGCCGAGCTTCCAGACTAAGACAGACTAGGAGGAAAGGCCTGGTGATCTGCTTCCAAAAAATCAGCCAATGAAAACCCTGTGGATTACAATGGTCTGATCCCGTTGTGCAGGGGGTTGCCGTGAGTTAGGGGTCAACTCTGGCAGCTAACAACAGCAACAGTACCTGCCTCACAGGGTTGTCTTGGGGATATAAAGAGTTTAGCACAGGACAAGTGCCCACCACGCTAGATGCCACTGATGTCAGAGGTGGAATCATAGATGCTTTAAAACATAAAGCTACTTCAGAGATAAACCTGAGACTCAGGGAAGTCAGGTACTTCCCCAAGGTCAACAGGAGAGCTGGGGACACAGTTGGGCTTCCCTAACTCTGGATCCAGGCCTAAATGTAGCACAAAAGACCCAGAGCAGCAATCACCTCTCTCCCAAGCCATCAGCCCAGCCTCCCTCGCAGGCACGTGAAAGTCTGAATAATGGAGCGGGAGCTCGGCTCCACAACCCACAATGCCAGCGGGATTACAAAGCAGCGCGTGATTAAGCCCTGAAGAGTGTTGCCAACAATAAGTGTTCTCCAAGTTCCAAGCAGGCAGAGAACAGAGTGGGCAGGGGGGCTGGAAGGGCTCTGCGGAAGGAGGGCTGGGCTGGAGCTGAAAGAGAGCAAGGGTTTAAATAGGCAGAAAAGGGAAGGGCAGGGCATGCCCAGCAGGGAACCCAGTGTGTGTGAACCAAGGCACAGGGTGGGAGGGCACTGGGGGCTCAGAACATGACCAGTGAAGTTTGTGGGGAGCGGGGGAGCTCAGTAAAAAGTGCAGGTGAAGCTGGACCTCAAGCACCAAGCCAGGAGGCTGGGGTGAACCTTCAGGACCCTGAGGCAGGGCAGGGGCTGCAGATTCTTGGCCCAGAGGAGGGGTCAGGGCAGAGAAGGGGAGGAGTGACCAGGGCCAGGACTGTGACCACTGTCTCATCCCACAGACACCTGCTATGTCCTGTCCTTCTCCATCATCATGCTCAACACCAGCCTCCACAACCCCAACGTCCGGGACAGGCCACCCTTCGAGCGCTTTGTGTCCATGAACCGGGGCATCAATAACGGCAGTGACCTGCCTGAGGAGCAGCTGCGGGTAAGAGGGGTGTGGCCCACCCAGCTCAGTCCCTGGGCCTCCGAGAGGGCCTGTCCTTAGATAGATAGCCCAAGAGCGGCTCTCTGAGGTAGACCACTTCAAGAGGGCCTTGTGCTGAGATAGACCACTCAGAGAGGGGGCTTGTCCTGAGACAGACCACTCCAAGAGGGGCCTGTCTGAGATAATCCATTCAGAGAGGGGGCCTGTGCTAAGATAGACATTCTGAGATGGGCCAACCAAGGAGAGCTCCTCCTGAGATAAACCACCCCAAGAAGTGGCTGTCCTGAGATAGACCACTCCAAGAAGGGACTGCTGAGAGAGACCATGCCAAAAGGGGCCTGTCTGAGATAGACCACTCAGAGAGGGGACCTGTGCTGAGATAGACTACTCCAAGAAAGGACTGTCCTGAGATAAACCACTCAGAGAGAGGGCCTGTGCTGAGATAGATCATCGTGAGAGGAGACAGTACTGAGATGGACTCCTGTGAGAGGGGACTGTGCTGAGATAGACCATCCTAAGAGGACTTGTCTTTAGATGGGTACATGGAGCACTTGTCCTTATATGGACCGCATAAGAGGGGTTTCTCTGAGATAGACCACTCCAAGGACTGTCCTGAGACAGACCACCCTGTGAGGCACTTGTCCATATATGGACCACATAAGAGGGACTTCTCTAAGACAGACCACTCCAAGAGGGGCCTATGCTGAGATGGACCACCCAGGCTGGTGACTGTCTTGAATGGGCCATCACAAAAGAGGTTGGTCCTGTGATAGATCTTCTCAAGAACAGTGCCCATCTTGAGAAGGATGTCTGGAGACAGACCACCCAGAATAGTCCTCCCAGACTTAGACCCTTGGGGTACTCTGAGAAGCATCCCTTCACCCTATTTCTTAGAATCCTGGATTATTCATCTCTCAGTGTGTCAGAGTCAAAAGTCCTCAAACTCTGCACTCAGATCCTTTTAGAGAGCAGGAGACTGAGATCCTCCTCAAGGCACACATTAGCCTGTGGCAGAACCAAGCAGAACCCAGGCCTGGTGTCTCCCCATCAAACCCTCCCTCACCCCTCCATAATATACCAAGCCCTGCACTCGGTACGGGGAACCCAGGGATGAATCAACCACAGGCCCTATCCTGCCCAAGTTTTGGTCTGGTGGGGAGATGACAAATATGTGACTAACAACTCCTTCATGAGTCACACTGTGCTGACCACGGAACACAGCTATGGAGACACAGAAGACGTTGCTAGAATTCTCCTGGAGGTGGGAGAAGGGTGGCCTCCTGGAGGACTTTACAGAGGAGGTGATGTTTGAACCGGGCCTTGATGGTTGAATGGGAGTTTTTCCAGAGGAGAAGCAGGGAAAGGGCGTTCTGAAAAGAGGAAGCTGCCAGAACCCAGGCCTGGCTAGGTTGGGAAATGGGGCTTGTCTGGGGTGGGTGTATGTGGACGGTGATGGGCAGTGGGTGGGTCCAAAGGGTCAGGGCTTCAAATGGCAGCCTCAGGGTCTGCCTGCTTCCTATAGTACAGAGCTGAGAACAGTTTGTAAAAAAAAAAAAAACGGGAGTGAGAGATTCCGAGGCTGGTGGAGAAAACAGGAAATGACAGTTCAAGGGCTAGTCCCCTCCAAGATCAGGCCCAGCAGGGAGGGGAGGAGGGGCATGAACCCCACCCTCCTTAGCACCCTATCCACCTCCTGCCTCAGAAGTCTGGGCTGGAGCCTGAGTCTTGAATGATTCTGGTGGCCCTCATGTTTGAGAACCCTGATACCCCTAGCCCACCACCCGATTTGATCCCTAGAGGAGAAAGTTTATCATTGTTGGGGGTGGGGGGGACTGCCCAGGCCAAATCCCATCTCCCCCAAGGTCTCCTGGGTGACCTTGGCCATTAATCACCCTCTGCAAGTCACCATTCCCTCAGCCAGGAGAATGGGAATAATAACGCCTGCGTCACAGAGCAGCCATGGGTAGTAATTAAAAAATAATGTAAAGGGCATCGTCTCTGCCAGGTATATAGCACAGGCTTTAAATGGTGGCTTGTGTCACTATTAGGGATAATTAATTAAAAGCACAGCACTTAGCCAAACACCTGAGAAGCAGAGGCATTTGTGCTGCTGGTGGCACAGAGCAGGGTACACCTACCTGTCTGGCAGGTAATGAGTTAAGTACATCTGCAGCCCCAGCCCTGCCTGATGCCCAGGTGCCCACATGATTGTGCTCAGCCCCCAGTGAGCCTTCTTCAGCTTCTGCCTCCTTAGGTATTTTTCTCCATTCAAGCTTTTTGTTAATAACAATGTGCTGCATTTGTATAGAGCTTTGTAACTTTCTTCTCATAGAGCTTTTGGGTCTATTATCTCAATTTAGCTTCAAATTCTGCCTGGGAGGTCGGTCGGGAAGGGTTTATTATGCTCTTTGGCTGCCAGGAGAGGCAGGCATCTGGTCGGGAAAAGGAGAGAGCGCGAGAGGCAGAGTCATATGCAAGTCCTGGCCACACCGCTTTTGGGCTATGTGGCATCTTGTAAGTGGCTTGACCTCTCTGAGCCCCCAGCTCACTGGATTAATCGAGAAATGTCAGGTATTTAGCAAAATGCCTGGTAGTTGGAGTGGCTCATTAAGCCAGAAATTTCCCAGAGCATGGTCAAAGAGAACCACACAGGCTTGGACCTTGCCATTCAAAGCTTACACGTATGGATTTGGGGGCCGTCTTGCCCCCTCTCCCGGCCTCATTTTCCCCTTGTGTAAAGCAAGGACTCAGCTTTAAGCACATTCAGATATTCAAAGTTCACAACTTTGCAGAAGGTTTCTCCAGAGAGTGACTCCAGCTTGAGCCCATTATGAAAACTAAATTTCCACAGATCCATCCCCTAAAGAGAGGTCAAGCCAAGGCCACACAGACCATGAGGGGTGCACATTGGGAGTGGGCGACAGGCAGGTGGATAGGAGATCAAACCCCAGCTCTGCCCTTAAGGCTGCATGACCTTGGGTGTGAGCCTCAGTCTCATCTGTGAAGGGGGCTAACGACACTGACCTCACCTTGTTCCCCCCGAGAAGCTGAGATGAGCTGAGATAAAGCACATGGAATACCTGGCACTTGGCAGGAACCTAGAAATGCTGAGAGAGAAACCACTCACCCTGAGAGAGTGGGAGGGGTCAAGGGTGGAGGAGGGGAGGGAGAGAGGACAAGAACACAGGAGGGCTCTCCACCGTCTCCTGTTACAGGTGGAGAAACTGAGGCCCCAGCAGGGGAACCGACTGCCAGCCCAGATGCCTTCTGCAGCTGGCAGCTGGACTCCTGGGTCCTTGTCCAAGCCCTGCCCCCACAGGCTTGGAGACTAGACTGCTTCACCCCACATCTCAGGGAGAACGGGCAGAGGAAGGGGTGTCATCAGGCTCCGGTCACCCATCGTCCTGCCACTGCTCCAACACACACACAAAGCACATGCACACACACACACGTGCACACTGCCCCCACAAGGAGAGCTCTGAATCTACCTCTCCCCAAGAACAGTGGGATCAGAGCACCCGGCCCAGTCCAGGCAGTGGGTCTCAGTGACGGGACCCCAGGGGCCAGCTCCTACCACAGGAGGACCCCCTGCTGTCCTAGGTCCTCCTCTCCACTGAGGCAGGAGCGGGTGCAGAACTCCAATCTAATTGCCTCCCAGGACTCACAACTGGTCACTGCCAGAAGGGGTATAAGCAGTAAGTGTTGCAAGTGGAACCTAACAGGGAGCCTCGAACCTTGGGCTACTCCCCCAGGGCTTAGAGACTCAAGACTCTGTTGCCATTGAGTCAGTTCCAATTCATGGTGACCCCATGTGTGCCAGAGTAGAACTGTAATCCATAGGGTTTTCAATGACTGATTTTTTCAGAAGCGAATCACCAAGTCTTTCTTACAACGTACCTCTGGGTGAACTTGAACCTCCAACCTTGGAGTTCACAGCTGAGTGCTTGACTGTTTGCACCATCCAGGGACTCCAGGCAGAGTGGTGTAAACAATTGTAATACTGGTGAGGGCAGCCAGTTATCAGAACTGCCCGTGTACGGGACACAGTTCTAACTAAGCACTTTGTCTCATTAAGTCATCCCAACAACCTTGGGCAGCAGGTACCATCCCCAGTTTACAGCTAAGGAAATTGAGGTCAAAGAGAGGTAGCTGGCCAGTGGTCTCATAGTCTGTGAGGAGTCTAGATTTGAACCCATGACTATCTAACTCCGGAGCCTTCAGTAACATCAGGACTCAGTTCTCCTTTCCTCTGTGTTGGCTTTCCTCTTAGGCAGGCTCTCCCCAAGTGATGGAAGAGATGCCCAGGCACCTCCAGGCTTCCATCTTACTTAGAAGCCCTCTTTCGCAGCAGTTCAAACAAAAAGACCCAGAATTAAGGCTCATTGGCTGGCTGGGGTCACATGACCTTCCATGTGCCAATCCTGAGGCCAATAGGATGAAATGCTCTGACTGGCTAAGACGTGAGTCACTCGCCCACTGCTGGAGCCTGGGGAAGGGGGTGTCAGCCCTTCTGAGCAATCTGGACAGAAAGTCAGGGAGAGGAAAGCTGGAGGAAGAGGGGGATGGGAGGGATGCAGGGCCAGCCGAACTACTGGGAGGTGGCCATTGTATTTCTGATCACGTCCACCCAGCCGGAGGAGACAGCTGGGCCCAGTGGTTTAGTGGGGGCGGGTGCAGTGGTGTGTTCTTTCAGAGAAGAGGCTGGTGTTTACAAGGTTCAGGAAATGTGGGTGAACTGAGCTGTTTTGTTTGTGGGGGCAGAATGTACCAGGCTGATAAGGGGATCACAGAAGCTGCCGGGTCCCCCTGTGGGTTTTGTGGGTCTGAGGCCCCCTCTCTGCCCCTGCTTGCCTCCTGGGACTTCCAAATATTTCTATGGTGACAGCTTTGCTGACAGCCTTCCGGTGGCAGGCACTTGTTCAAACAGCCAGCGAACACCACTTGGGAATTCCCAGGGCTGTGCTGGGCCTGGGTAGGAGAGGAGAGAGGGGCTTCTGGACTGTTCTAAGGGGTGTAGAAAGAGAAACTGGTCCCTGCTCCTCCCCACCCTACACCCCCACAGCCAGAGTTGAGCCCCCACCTCTGTCAAGCCCTGGAAAAGATGCTTCAGGCCTGCACCCCTAAGCTCCCAAATCAACATGGACCTTAAAAACCAACAAACACCATTTCTAAAATCTGGGAAATCAAACAATACTAGTGAAATTTTTCAGTTAAAAATCTCCAGGAAACCATCTGAACAGCAGCACACACAAATGCAACCAAAGGAAATGATTTAATTATCAACGGAGACACAATATTGTGTCTGGTTTTAATAAGCAGAAAGAAACAGTTTTCAATCTGTTTTTTTGAAACACTTGGAAATCTGGGCAAGTTGTTCATGGAACCCCAGTCCTCATGGTGGGGATTCAGAAAACACAGGCATGATCTAGCACTCACATCTACAACTCACTCACAAGGAGGTCCCAGCCCTGGCTTGCATATCTTCAGTGACAAGGAGCTCATTACCCTCGAGGTCACTCCTTCCGTATTTCAGCAGCTCTAACTGCTAGAAAGTTCTCCAAAGAGAATTGAAATCTGCTTCCTTGGAACTCCTCCCCCAGCCCCACAATTGGAGCCCACCCAGAATAGGTCACTTCCCTCTGCCTAGGAAAGGGGTCTTTAAGAGCTGAGGTCAGCAGCCCGCCCTTGAGTCTCCTTCTGCCGGGCCTCTCTACACGGGGCAGCTGATCCCCCTCCTCCCTGGCAGCTCCTCTGGACAAGCCCCACTTACCTGTGTCTCCCTCCCGCCCCCGACCAGGGGTGCACCTGGGAGACTCTGCTACTGCACCTAAAAGCGGAGGGGACCCTTCCCCATGGGCATTGTCCAAGAAGGCCCTGACTCCGGCTGCTGTGCCCCAGAATGTGCATGTGTGTGCCTGTGTGTGTGTGCATGCACACATGCACAGGTAAAAATGTGTACGGGGTGTATGGGTCCCAGCCAGGGTGTCTTTGTCTCCAACACTCCCAGACACAGGGATGACAGTCCAGAACTCACTCATCTGCCCTGAAAGAGCAGCTCTAGGTGGTCGGGGCAAAGAGGGGGAGGGAGGGGGTGTACTCCCTCCTCACCACCTTCCCCTTGACTTGAGGAGAGAGGAGGGGCTTCTGACCCCTGTGTAGTCCAGTTACTCCCCCAGAACCCAGGGAGGTTAGTAGTGTTCTCTCCATTTTTCAGATGAGGGCACAGCAGCTCAGAGAGGTTGAGAAGCTTGCCCAGGGTCACACAGCCATTGAGTGACTGAGCTGGGGTTTTCACCCAGACTGTCTGACTCCAAAGCCAGTGTTCTTGTCCTCATATGTCAAAGTACTGACACATTGTGGGGGCTTGTGGGCAGGGCAGAAAGTGGACTCTCTGAGATGCTGAACTTCACTTTCTCTGCCCGACAGTAGCATGTGGTCTGGGGGAAGGAGTGACACTGGAGAGCGGGCAAGGCCAGCCCCAGCGAGAGGAGGGGCTCCAAGTGGGGCTGGGGAACCAGGGAGGGTTTCACCGAGGGGGACCCAGGAGCCAGCCATGAGCTAGCAGGAGAGGAAGGAGTTTGCCCAGAGGTGGAGTGACCTGGCCACAGCCACACAGGTCAGGTTGGCCCAAGCCCCTCACTGGGGTGGACAGACGTCACAGCAGATCCTTCCCTCCCTTCTCTCGGCAGAACCTCTTCGACAGCATCAAGAGCGAGCCCTTCTCCATCCCAGAGGACGACGGCAATGACCTCACTCACACCTTCTTCAACCCGGACCGGGAGGGCTGGCTGCTGAAGCTGGGTGAGAGGCTGATGGGCACCCACTGATGCACATATGTGTGCCGCTGATGCACACGCACGTCAGCACATGTGCTGGCATGCACACTCAGGCACATGCCTGCACGTGCAATGACTTGCCTACACATACATGCACATGCGGACCCACGTGCTGAAACACGCACACACGGGCACACTCTGGCACACGCACTGACACACATTCATGCACACATAGGCACACAAGCTGACATGCCTGCACACTCATGCATATGTGCTGACATGCACACTCATGCACACGCAAGCACACGCACTGACATACACATTGGCAAGTGCCCTGACACACATTCATGTACGTCCCAGCACACACGCTTACACTCACATGCAGCCTTGGGGTGGAGTCAGCCTGGCCCCAGGTCCCGACCCCAGCACCCACCCTGCCCCACCCTGCCCCACCCTACCCATCCATCCAGAGAATGAGGGGGAGGCAGCGGGGAGAAGAAAGCGAGCGGGAACTCAGGTATGAGAGGCACACAGATCCACAGACAAACACATCAACTGCAGTTCTGGTTCTCCTCCCAGAGGGCTGGGCTGAGGCGTCTTGGTGGGAATTACCATTTATTCAGGACCTACTAAGTGCAGATGAGGCCCTAGCCTCTCACTCAGCCCTGCCTTGGGGTTGGCACTCTGAGGAAGCCAAGGCTCAGAGAGGTTAGGGCACCTTCCCCAGGCCATACAGCCAGCAAGTGGCAGATGTTGGTGGGTGGAGGGCTACATGCCCCTGAAGGAGGGGAGGGTGTGCCGCAGGATGTGACTCAGGGAGCCTCTCCTCAAGATGCCTGGGGGGCGGGAGGGCCTGCCCTCAGCAGCAGCGTCTGGGCCTCAGCCCTGCAAGAGGAGCCGTGGGTGGGAGCTGCGGTGGTGGGCGCTGCGGTAACGGCTGCTGCAGTCTCTGGCAGGGAAACCGCAGGCCCCAGCCATCTGCCCCTGCCTCCCACACACTCCCGGAAGGCTCTCTGGCAGGGGAGGCCCAGCAAGGGGCAGCGGCCTTTGGAGGCAGGTGAGGTCGGATGCCTCATGTTGGAGCAGGGGCCTCACCTGGATGGCCTCCAGAACCTCCTCTGTGCCTGGCACTGTGTCAGTCCTGCCCAACACCCGCCAGATAACCATCTGAGCCCTCCATCTCTCCACGCTGACTTCCTTGTCTGTCCCTCCCCTGCAGACTGCTGGCCTCCCTCTTGCCCCAACTACTTGCTCTCAGCCCAACTTAGGCAGGAGAGGGGCCTCTGGAGCCCACAGTACTGGATTCAAAGCCCAGCTCCTCCATCCGTGTGCCAGTGCTCAGGCTCCTCAGCCTCAGTTTCTACAGCTGTGAAATGGGATAAAAATCACTGGGAAGGGTAAATGTGTAGCAAAATGGCCAAGAGCTTGGGCTCTGGAATCAGGATGCTTTGCTGTGGGCCCTTGGGCAGGTAATTTAGCCTCTTTGTGCCTCAGTTTCCCCATCTGTAAAATGGGGTTGATAATGGTTCCCGCCTCATAGGTGGTTATGGGATTAATAAGTAAATACTTGTTTAAAACCTCTAGAACAGTGCCAGGCAAATGAAAGATGAGATGCTTAGCACAGCACCAGGCAGGGAGCAGGTCAAGACATGAGCCCAGGGCTGACAGTGGCGGCAAAGTACAGAGAATAGCAAGTTGCTGTCCCAGGGCCTGATCACAGGAGAGCTTCGAATGAAAGGTCAAGCAGCTCAGGGGGAGCCTGGGGTGATGGGAGCTGTTAAGGTTTTTGAGTGAGGAAAGATGGACAAGGGGGGAGTGGTGGTGGCTAGGGTGCTCAGGTGGAGGCCAGGGGAAGGTATCTGAGACCCTGCTCTTCCAGGGAGGGAGGGTGTCGGTGGCCCAGGGAGGGGCAGGGCCTGGCTGAACACCTATCGGCCTCTTGCAGGGGGCCGCGTGAAGACGTGGAAACGGCGCTGGTTCATCCTGACCGACAACTGCCTCTACTACTTTGAGTTTACCACCGTGAGCTGGGGTCCCCTGAGTGCCACCCTGGCCCTGCCTCTCCCCACTTTTCCCCCTTCCCACCACAGCAGTCAACTAACAGAGCCTGGGGACCCTTTGAGATCATTCAGTCCACCTCCACTCCCATTTTACAGATGGGAAACTGAGGTACAGAGACAGGGAGGAGCTCGGCCAAGGTTCAAGGCATGGCCAAGGCTTAAAGATGGCTCTTTTAGCTCCCAGCCAAGGCTCTCCCCCCACCCTCCAAGGCTGGACAGAGACTGGGAAGATGGGTTCACTCCTCTTCGGGTTTAGGAAGCCCGACGAGTTCACGCCCTGCCCTGGCCTCCAGGCTCCGTGTGCCGACTTTGCCTTTCCCCCTGCAGGACAAGGAGCCACGAGGGATCATACCACTTGAGAACCTCTCAGTCCAGAAGGTGGACGACCCCAAGAAACCAGTAGGTGTCAGGGTGGGGGCCTGAGGCCAAAGCTGCTGGGGGATTTCCTAAGACAGGGAGGCTAGGGAAGACTAGACACTCAGAGAAGCTGCCCTGCAGCTCAGACAAGCAGCCAGTGCCCCCTCCCGCCATCCCCTGCAGGACACACCCTGCCCTCAAGAGACGCTTTTTCTCTGAAAGACAGCTACTACTACGCACACTGAGCACTTAGTGTGTGCCAGGCTCAGCCTATCTCCCAATCTCGCTATCTTGATAAAACCTCCATTTGACAGATGGGGAAACTGAGGCTCAGAGAGGAGCAGTGACTTACTCAAGGTCACCCAGCCAATGTCAGAGTCAGGATCTGCGTGATAACTGAGGCCATGCCCTTTGATAACATTGACCTGCCCCAGGGTCCGAGGGCAGCCCTGAGCCAGGCAGAGGGTGTGGTGGGCTCAGCCGCCCAGTCCTCCCACCCCTGCCTTGTCCTTACCTGCCGGCACCCCCCACCTGCCACCCAGTTCTGCCTGGAGCTCTACAACCCCAGCTGCCAGGGCCAGAAGATAAAGGCCTGCAAGACAGATGGTGACGGCAAGGTGGTGGAGGGCAAGCACGAGTCCTACCGGATCTCGGCCGCCAGCGCCGAGGAGCGGGACCAGTGGATCGAGGCCATACGGTGAGGGGCAGCTGGACAGTGGGGACGAGCCTGCTGCAACCTTCCAGAAGCCCCTGCTTCTCTTGGGGCCTGTCTGCTTACCTGGAAAGGGGCTAATCTGTCATTTCCCTCCTGATTCTGGCGTGCAAACCCCTTCCACCTACATCCCATGAGCACCTCCTGTGTGCCCAGCACAGGCCTCGGACACAGGGATGTGAGACGCGACTTCACAGGATTGTTGTTCATGAGAGATATTGCTTGTAAAGCTCTTTGCACAGCTTGCACTTGGTGGGTGCTCGGTGAATGGCGCTCTGGACACCATCAGCATCCGAAGTGGGATGCTGGCAAGGATTGTACCTGGTGCAGGTGGAGGGAAGGGCCTTTCAGGTGAAGGATCAGTGTGGGTAAAGACAAGCAGGCAGGTCAGTGTGGGGCCTGCCTGGAGAGTATCCCAGAGTCCCGGGGAGTGGGTGCTGGATGGCATGGGGCCAGGTAGCGTGGGGGCTGGGCAGGATGGGGGCTGGGCAATGTGTGGGGTCAGTGCAGGCTGGGCAGGGTGTGGCCAGGAAGTCCAGGGCCAGGCAGTGTGGGGGCCGGGCAGTGTGGGGTCAGTACAGGCTGGGCAGGGTGTGGCCAGGAAGTCCAGGGCCAGGCAGTGTGGGGGCCGGGCAGTGTGGGGTCAGTGCAGGCTGGGCAGGGTGTGGCCAGGAAGTCCAGGGCCAGGCAGTGTGGGGGCCGGGCAGTGGGAGATGAGGCTGTAGAGGATGGCAAGGCCTTGGTTGCCATGGTGACAAGCTTGGGTTCCTCCTGGGGGGCAATGGGGGCCACAGCCAGGTAACGGTGTGGTCAGGTAGGAAAAGCCTCAGTTGAGGGCCTAGCTTTGAGGTGCCAAGTTGGACGGTGGAAGGCCAGATGTTGTCATCATGGACCGGGGAGAGACCTGGGGGTCTGAAATGAGGCTGGGATGAGGAGGAAGTAGCCATACTCCCTCACAGAGTGATCATGTCCACCCTCTTGAGGCCGGATGTTACCCACAAGAGGCAGCGGGCATTATTTTCCCCGTTTAGAAACCCAGAAACTGAGGCCCAGAGAGGAGAGGGACTTGCCCAGGGCCACAGCTCATGATCGGCAGGGCCAGGACCAGCAAGAAAGTCTGCTGGCACCTACCCAGCGCTCTTCCCACCTCCAGCTAAGAGCCATGATGGGAGCCCAAAGGAGGTGTCCAGGGACCCGCTGGGGCAGAATCCCCAAGGCTCTCAGGACCCGACCCCGGGCCTCACTGGCTTCAGCCCTGCCCCGGGACGCTGGGCTAGGCTCACAGCTGGACTCGCCCTGGCTCCATCCTGGTTGGGATCATCTGGCCCTCCCCCTGCAGTGGGGCAGGCCAGCACTCCCTGGGAGTCCCAGGCTCATGGAGACGAAGACTCCACGACCACCAGCTCAGCCCTGAAATTCTTTCTCCCACTCTCATTCCAGAGCCAGCATCACCCGCGTGCCCTTCTACGACCTAGTCTCTGCTCGAAAGAAGAAGATTGCCAGCAAGCAGTGAGCTTCCTGGGGAGGTTGTGCTGGGGGCTGGCATCCTGGGAACCCCACGAAGTGTGGTACCTGGAGACCCATCTCTCACCCCCAGTGCACCCTTTTCTGGCCCGCAGATGTCAGCTGACAATGGGGCAGGAAGCAAAGCTCAGGAGGCTGGGTGGGAGCCCCCCAGGCTCAGAGTCCGGCAATGAGGCCCCATTGCCCCCTGCCCCAAGTCCACTACAGTAAAGGGTAAGGAAACTAGCCTGAGGCCCGGCACCCTGTCCTAATTTCTGGGCCTTAGTTTCCTCATCTGTGAAATGGCTCCTTGTACCCTGAAATGCTGTCATTCCTCCAAGTAGGAGAAGCCTGGAAGTCCCTGAGCGTTTCCTGTCCTCAGCGAGGCCTCTTCCTTCAGCTGGGGGAGGGTGTTAATCTCTGCTTGCCCCTTCCCTGGCCTCGGCTTGGGCTTGGCCCTCCCTGCCTGAGCAGGGCTCATCACATACATACCTTAGCCCCACAGACAGGGCGCCTGGAGACACCAGGAGCTTGGGCCCCAGGGTTCCTGTCCCGCCTTCATCGTCAACTCACTGTGTGCCCTCTGCTACGGCATGCTTCTTCTCTGGTTCTTGGCAAACAACGTGCTTGGAATACAGATGTCTTGGCCCCTCTGGGTGCTACGGCTATTTCTCAAAGCCCACCTTGGATGCTGGGTACCGGCACCACCCCCACCCCCCAGGGTGGCAGAAGCAGTCCCAGTGCGGGACCCCAACAGTGGTGAACTGGCCAGCCTCCTCCTCTCCAGGCGTCTCTTCTCCACGGAAGGCCAGGATTGCACTGGGCCTCCCCCAAGGAGCTCTCGGGTGGAGAGCGTCCACCTGTTTACTGAGCCGGGGCAGGGTCTGAGTGGAAGGTTGCCAGGGAATCAAGAGCAGAAGTGAGCTCCACCTTTAAGGAAGTCCATTTGAAGGACAGGGGCAGTTGAAACCCCTCAAGGAAATGGCAGAGAGCATCCCAGACAGACGGGACTCAAGCAAGACTGGTGGTTCAACCAAGAGGCCAAGAAGACTGTGCTTTGTGAGCTGTGGCTATCAGAAGGGCTGCCTGGAGGCAGCACCTGAGCTGACGAGAGATGCAGGGCTCATGCCTGGAGAGGCAGAGTCTCAGCCACAGCTTCCCTGCTGGACCACTAGCCAGGGGCCTGTGGCAGTGAGGGACAGCCCCAGTGAGCTCCAGGGTCCCAAGACCCTCTGCAGCAGCCCTGCCAGAGTAGAGCTGACATCCTACCCTAGGCAGGCAGCTCTGTCTCCAGGTGGGACCCAGCCTGGAGGAGGATTCCATGAACAGGCTGCTTCTCAGAAGCACTTCTCACTCCCTCGCACAGGCCCCGGAGAGTCCCTGGAGGGAAATTCCCTGGCGGGGGAACAGCAAATGGAGCTGACTCTGCCCCACTGCCAGCCTGTGTGGGCGAGCAGAAGCCAGGTGGATTCCCCAGGAGGAGCAGCAGCTCCAAGGGCAACCCCCCCACCCCACACCCTTCCACAGGGTCGGGACTGCTCAAGAATGGAGTAGCTGCCTTGTGACATGATGCGATTCCTGTCCCTGGAGGTGGGCAAGCATCTGGTAATGATACTGCACCATCAAGGGTCGGGGCTGGTATCTGCAGGAGCATCCAGCAGAAGCCTTGCTGAACATCTGAGGAATTCTGCAGATCCCAGCCTGGGAGATGAGCTCCACCTCTGTTGCCCTGTTTGGCCCATAAAGGGGCAGCCAGGAATTGTGGAAGGAGAACTGGGCCGGGAGTCAGGAGGCCAGAGGTCCTCTCCTGCCTCTGGCACACACTGGCTGTGTGACTTTGGCCCACTCCTTGTTGTCTCTGATCCTCGGCTTCCTCCTCCACCACTAAGTGGGTAGAATCAGTGATTTTCTGGGTATGAGCAGCTATTCTGGAAATCACTCATAGACGAGAATAAAGCTCATGATCCAACTCGTGCCTGGGGCTCTGTCCTCTCCATGGTCATGTCTACCACCCCAGGCCCCACCTTAGTCTTTCACACCAAATGAGGGCAAGAGGGTCAGACTGGGCAGGGTAGGCTCTGGAACCTTGTCCTCGGAGGCACTGGGGCTGCTGTGCTAGACAGAAGTCCCCAGCAGCTGGGCCACAAGGACACAACTCCTGTGGGGCAAGGGTAGTGTGAGCTAGTTCTGCCAAGCTCAGAAAAATGCAAAAGAACTTTTTAGCAGGCAGCGCTGACCAGAAATGGAAAAGGCTGCTGCTTCAGGAGATGGGTGATAAGCTCTCTGTCACTAGAGGGATGCAAGCCCAGGCTGGCTTAAATAATGACTTGGCATGCTACAGTGGGCCTTGAATTTGGTAACCTTCATTTATTTGTGCTCTCAGCAAACATTTACTGAGTGCCTGCTGCATGCCAGGCACTGTTCCAGGCACTGGTGGAAGAAGGCAGAATCCCTGCCTACATGGGGCTTGCATTCTATGACTCTAGATAGCCACCTTAGAATGTGCAGGGCACCCAGTTAACCCCATGCCCTAACCCAGCCACCTGCCTGAAATTCCACCATTTGAATGATCAACTTATCCACACATTTTTTCATTCAGGCCACGCTTACTGAGCACCTACTATGTGCCAGATTCCACGCACAGAACCAAGGGTCTAAAGATGATCAAGACAAAGCCTCTGTCCTCAAAAGGAGCTCAAGTCTATGGGGAAGACAGGCGTAAACAGCCAGTTACAGCCCAGGTGACTTGTGCTAGAATAGAGCCAGGTACAGGGGCCAGCAGAGGGCTGGGCTGGGCTGAGCTGGGCAATCTGGGGAGGCTTCTCAGACGAGGCAGCCAGGCTGTGCACTTGCTCAGTGCCTCACACACAGTAAGTAGGTGCATAATCATTGCTGGTTAGACCGAAGTCAGCTGATGAAAGGTGCTCTGGGCTCAGCACCAGCAAGGGCAAATGTCTGGAACCACAGGAAACTGCGAGAACGTCGGTGCTGCTAGCGGGTGGGGAGTGGCCTGAGAGGTGGGCATGGCCTCCCTTGTCACCATCCCTCGGTCACCATCGGGAATTGGGCGAGTCCGGCTCTGGCTTATCGGCCCAGACCCCTTGACTCTGCCCACCTGCCTGACATTCTGCTACTCCTCGCTCTGGGCAGCAGGGGGCTCCCACCACCCATGGATGAGAGGTTCTGACACCACAGCCAGGCTGGGGCCCTGACCAGCAGCCCCTCACAGGGTCTGTCGGGCCTCTGTCCAGAGCAGAGTCCTGGCCTGGGCACGCGGTGGGGGGAGGGGAGAGTGCAGCTGGTCCACTAGGGCCTGCGGGCTCAAGCAGTCCAACAGACACCCAGGGCACCCCCTCCCACCATCCCTGAACACAGTCTCCCCTACTCAGCCTGGGAGGTGGGATACTCCAGCTCTCTCACCTTCTGGCTGTGGACACTGAGTTAGTTGCTTACCCTCTCTTAGTATTATTTTCCTCCCTGAAGGATTGAACCAGTAAGTTCCATGACACAAACCTTTAACAGGGACTTCTGTGTGCCAGAGGGTCCCAGACATGGGTGCAACGCAGCCCCTGCTCCAGGAGGAATGGAGGCAGACGAGCAGAAACCACAAAAGTCACTTACTGCAAAAGGCCACGGGGGGCGGCAGTGAGAGCTGTTACTCTGGGACCCTAGGGCCTGGGTTCAAGGCTCATCTCTACCACTTATTCTCTGCATCTTAAGCAAGTTTCTTAAGCTCTCTGCACCTCAGTTTTTCCATCTATAAAATGGAGATAATTAAATACATGCAAGTCCTTAGAACAGTGCTGGAAACCTACTCAGGGTTATGTAAGTGCTTCCCATTATAAGGCAGACTGTGTGCCTGCATGGAAATACAGGACAGTCTGGAGTCACTGGGGAGGGAAGATTCATGGTGGAGGTTAAAGATCTTTGAAGGCTTCTTGGAGGAGGTGCCCAGAAAGATTAGCTAAGTGGAGGCCTGGGCCTTCCAGCCAAAGGGGCCAAAAGGAGACAAGACTAGGATGCAGAATAAAATGAGGTCTTTCTGGGACTTCCTCGGCCCCAAACACAAGACCCAGGGTAGGGCAAGACTATGGTGGACAAAGAGGATGCAAGGTGGAGGGGGGCTGGGCCCTGGCCAGCGCTGAGCTTTGCGCAGGATGCTGATTGAGCTCTTCCTCCTCTCTGACGGCATGAAGCCCTGCCTGGGGATTCAGGAACACTCTGGATGGCTGAACAGAGGCCATCCCAACATGGGAGCAGACAGCCCGGCACAGGACTGAGGCCCTGGGATGGAGCAGGAGAGGGCAAGGGAGCTGAAAGGGCATGGAGGTCCCCTGCCAGGTCTCCAGGGTATGGTAAAACCCCCATCCTGAGCCCTGATGACCCAGAGCTGGCACTGGGGCCCTGTACCCTGGGTGCCAGGGAGGACAGCAGATGGGGCGGGGGCAGCCAGGAGTTGAGTGGCAGGTGTGAGAGGTCTGGAGAAATTGATTTATTAGGGACAATGAAAGGAGCTAAATATGTTTGCCGGGCTCAGCGATGACTCAGGCTTTCCCCAGGGGTCCACAAAGCTAGAGCATCAAAGAATTGAAGGCAGTCCTCCTCCCACCAGAGCTCCGCCCACCGCCCACCTCGGGCTCCTCCTTCCAGCCAGAGAAGGACCACCTCTGGAAGGTCCTGAAAGTCTGGCCTCCCCTGGCACCAGGGACCCAGCCACTCAGCCAGCCTGCCCCACTCCCATCCCGCCGGCCACCAGACGTCACCCAGGATGGTTGAAGAGCAAAGCCTGGAAGTGGGACACATCTCGAAATCCTGGCCCTGCCCCAAGGTGCTGTGTGACCTTGAACAAGTGGCTGGGCCTGTCTGGACCCACACCCCCCTGTGTAAACTCCCAGGGAGGTGGTGGGAATTTGATGTGGTGCAAGATATGGCACCTAGCATGGTGCCGGGGCTCCCTGGGGGATGTTCAGCCAGCTGCCTCCCCTCCCAAACCCCCGCCCCTGCAGAGAGGGCTGGTCCCTACCAAGCGGCCCCTCCACCCCCTGCCAGTCTGGCAGCATCACTCCACCCGATTCATCTTCCTCCAGACAGCAGTGAGCATAGCCTCCTCCTCTGCCTAAAATCCACAACTTCCCTCCAGGAGAAATGCCAGACTCCGTGGGGCCTCACTGGGGGAGAACACACTGGCACTCCAGGCTGGGCTGGCGGTATAAGGGCTCCGGGAGAAACAGCGATGAATCAGAGGCAACTGCAGGCCGGAGGCAGGGGAGACAGGAGGAAGCAATGACCTCAAGTGAAGGTGGCAGTGATAGGGATGTGGATGGGAGCCTGGGGGTGTGGGAGGGCTGGGGAGACATCTGCCAGGCAAGGGGGGGCACTCCTGATATGAAATACAGAGCCCCAAAACAGTGAAGAGTTTGGCATGTTGGGGAAATGTTGAAGTCTTCACTGGGCCTGGAGGGGCCTGCCCCTGGAACAGGAGGGCTTCAGGTAGAACAGAAGCTGGGCATGGATTGGAGGGCCAGAGCAGTCAGGCTTCATCTGGCTGGCACTGGGGAGCTGAGGAAGGGTCAAAGCAGAAGAGAGGCAGGGTTGGGGCTTTTTTGGGGGCATCCCTTTGTCTGCTTGTCGTGGTGGATTAAGGAGGCCAGGTGTCCACCAGGAGCCCAGAGGAGGTGAGTGAGGGATAGGGTGGTAGCTGGGGTAGGACCGGAGCAGCATGGCTTTGAGGGTGGGAGGAGGAGGCCTGATGGGCCCCCAGGATTAAGATTTGTGGGAGGCTTGATGGGCCCCCAGAGTTAAGATTTGAGGACACCCAACTGGCCCAAGAAAAAACAGGTAGGAGTAAGGTTTGGAAAGAGGGGGAAATGAACAGGGTCACACTGAGTTTGAGGACCATCTCTGGGGGCCTCAATTCCAGTTAACTATTGCTCTTTACAAGTCTCGTCAAGCCCTGCCTCGAAGCGGTGCGGTGTGGACCGCTAACGAATGCAAGGAGCCTGGCCCCCACCAGTCTTCTGCAAACAGCTGCTATTCCCCAGGTGGTACAGCGGCCTAGGTGGCGCAAACGGCTAAGCGCTTCACTACTAGGCAAAAGATTGTTGGTTCAAACCCAGCCAGAGCCGCCTCAGAAGACAGGCCTGGCGATCTGCTTCTGAAAGGCCGCGACCTTGAAAATCCTATGGAGCCGTTCTACTCTGCACACACAGGGTCGCCATGAGTCAGGAGCAACTTGACGGCAGCTAACCACAACAAAAACACAGGTGGAATAAACTGTTAACGTGTTCGGCTGTTAATCAAAAGGTTGGAGGTTTGAGTCCACCCAGAGGTGTCTCAGAAGAAAGGCCTGGCATCTGCTTCCCCAAAATCAGCCATTGAAAATCCTAAGGATCACAGTTCTACTCTGACATACGTAGGGTTGCCATGAGTTAGGGGTCGACTGGATGGCAACTGATAATGGTGTTGTGTTCATGATGGGGTGTCCCTAGGGGCCTGAGATCGAGGGCTCTGGACAGAAGCACTATAGGTAATGGGTGTTGCCGGTCTCATCCTTCCAGGCCCAGCCGAAGCCCTTCTCCAGCAGGAATCCCTCCCTTCCTTCTCCAGCAGGAAGCCCCCAGCCCCCAGGGATCCTTCGGGACCCTGGAGGTTTCAGAAGAACAAAGGGTGCTAGCTATGGAACCTCCAAAGGAGACTCAACACCTAATTTTGTCCCAACTCAACATGTGTTCACAGTTTTGGTCTTTAGTGAGCTGGCTTCATGGTCTGGGGCTGCCGGGGCTCAAGGAGAGCAGAGTTCCAGGTTCTGTTGCTGGGCTCAGGTCCCCCTCTCCCCAAGGCCCATGGGCCTTCTCCTTTTCCCCCTCTGCTTCTGCATTGGACTTCTAGCCCAATCCATAAATGCCTTGGCCAGTAAGATCATCCTTCCCTTTCTTCCAGAGAAACTGAGGCTCACAGAGGTTAAGGGACATGCCATAGTCATCAAACACGGAGGTTCCATGAAGAAGACAGAGGCCAAGGGCACCACATTTACTGAGCATACATCATCTCCTCCATCCTCCAGTAGCCCATGAGGTAGACAGTTATTCCCACTTAACAGATGAGAACATGGCGACTCAGAGAGTTGATGACTTGCCCAGAGTCACACGGCCAGGAAGTGGCATCTGATCAATGGATTTCCGTTGAGTTGCAGAGGCCAGTAGGACCCGGCAGCCAGCCAGAGACTGGAGCAGAAGAGGTGGATTAACTTCTCAACCTCTTCAGTCCCTTTGATCCTTTGAGGCTAAAGCTTAACTCTCTTCTCTTTCTCCCTCCACCAAGGGATTTTCATTTAATAAAGAAGAGCCCAGAGATGACCCAGCTTTTAACCCAAAGAAATTTTTTTTAAATAAAATGTCCTCCATTTAAAATAATAATGATAATAAAATATGCTCATTATAAAAAATTGGGAAATGCAATAAACAAGAAGAAAAAAAATTAGACCAAGAATTCCTCCACCTGATATTATAAGTATTTCAGATTATTTCCAGCAAACCTATATGCTTTATGTTTTACCAATACCAGGTGCTGTTGAGTTGATTCCAACTCATGGCGACCCCATGTGTGTCAGAGTAGAACTGCGCTCCATAGGATTTTCAATGGCTGGTTTTTCAGAAGTAGATCTCCAGATCTTTCTTCTGAGATGCCTCTGGGTGGACTCAAACCTCCAACCTTTCGGTTAGCAGCCAAGCACGTTAACCCCTTGCGCATACAATTTTGTAGCCCGTGTCTTTCTCCTGATGTTGTTGTTGGGTGCTGTCGAGTTGGCACTTAACCGAGCGCTTAACTGTTGCACCACCAGGGCTGTCTGTCTTTTCCTTGTTGTTGTTGTTGTGTGACTCATAGTGACCCTATAGGACAGAGTAGAACTGCCCATAGGGTTTCTTAGGGTATAATCTTTACGAAAGCAGATTGCCAGGTCTTTTCTCCCGAGGAGTGGCTGGTGGGTACGAACCACTGACCTTTCAGTTAGCAGCCAAGCGCTTTAACCATTACGCCACCAGAGCTCCTTTGTCTTTTCCTTAGCACCACAGAAAATCAGTATTTCCCCACGTATACCAGTCAGGACAGGTTAGGTTATGCTCGGGTAATAGCCCCCAAATCTCAGTGGCTTCACACACAAGAGTTTGTGTCTTGCTCAGACTGCATGCGCAGTGGGGATGGGGAGCTAGGGTTGCGTGGGGGTTGCACATCCTAGTCACTCAGAGACCCAAGCTAAGGAGGTGCCATCTTGGCTGCCGGGGACACTGTAGCAGAAGGCGGCAGCTCTTAAAATTTCTGTCTGGACACGATGTATCACTTCCACTCACATTTCATTGGCCAAAGCAAATCACATGGCCAATGGGGAAGTAGCATCTTACCATCTGCCCAAATACGTAGTGTCTTAGTCATCTAGTGCTGCTATAACAGAAATACCCCAAGTGGATGGCTTTAACAAAGAGAAGTTTATTCTCTCACAGTCCAGTAGGCTACAAGGTTAAATTCAGACTCTAAGGGAAGGCTTTCTCTCTCCGTCGGCTCTGGAGGAAGGTCCTTGTCATCAGTCTTCCCTTGGTCTGGGAGCATCTCAGCGCAGGAACCTCAGGTCCAAAGGATGCACTCTGCTCCTGGCACTGTTTTCTTGGTGGTATGAGGTCCCCGTGTCTCTCTGCTCACTTCTCTCTTGTGTATCTCAAAAGAGATTGGCTTAAGACATTATCTAATCTTGTAGACCTCATCAACATAACAGCCGCTAATCCATCTTATTACATCATAGTGATAGAGTTTACCACACATAGGGAAATCACATTAGATGATAAAATGGTAAACAATCATACAATACTGGGAATCATGACCTAGTCAGGTTGACATATATTTCTGGGGAACACAATTCAATCCATGACACTTGGTGTGTACCAAGGGTGAGGAAACCCTGCTGGTGTAGTAGTTAAGAGCTTCGGTTGCTAACCAAAAGATTGGCAGTTCGAATCCACCAGGCTCTCCTTGGAAACCCTATAGGGCAGTTCTACTCAGTCCTATAGGGTCACTATGAGTCGGAATCAACTCGACAGCAACGGGTTTTGGTTTGGACCTACGGTAAGGAGTTCCTGGGTGGTTCACACAGTTAACACGATTGGCAGCTAACCAAAAAGTTGGAGGTTTGAGTCCACCCAGAGGTGCCTCAGAAGAAAGGCCTGGAGATTTACTTCCAAAAAATCAGCCATTGAAAACCCTATGGAGCACAGCTCCACTGAAGCAGTTCACTGATTGCTGGGCCCCACCCCCAGAGTTTCTGATTCAGTAGGTCTGGGTTGGGGCCTGAGAATTGGCATTTCTAACAAGTCTTGATAAAGGTAAAAGACTACAGCATTCAGAATGGATTACACAGCAACATAAAGAAAACAAAAATCCTCACAACTGGACCAATAAGCAACATCATGATAAACAGAGAAAAGATTGAAGTTGTCAAGGATTTCATTTTACTTGGATTCACAATTAACGCCCATGGAAGCAGCAGTTGAGAAATCAAACGACGTATTGCATTGGGAAAATCTGCTGCGAAAGACCTCTTTAAAATGTTAAAAAGCAAAGATGTCACTTTGAGGACTAAAGTGCGCCTCACCCAAGCCATGGTATTTTCAATTGCCTCGTATGCATGCAAAAGCTGGACAACAAAAAAGGAAGACCGAAGAATTGACACATCTGAATCATGATGTTGGTGAAGAATATTGACTATACCATGGACTGCCAAAAAAATGAA